AGCAGGGTCCAGCAGGACCGTGTCCAGACAAACTCAAGGGCAGCCTCCCAATCTACTAAAATTACCAGCAAGACATGGTGGGTGAGAAAGAAGGTGCCTATTGGGCAGGATTGGCACGGTTAAGGAGACCTAGGGGGATCACTGCCATCCTCAGGGACCCCATCCCGTGACAACAGGTTTAGATGTTCATTAGACTAATGTACATTAGACTAATATGATGGCTAGAAAATGGTATTTAGAGGTTTGCTTTTGGGAATTGGCTTGCATGTATGTAGATATACAATGGTCCAGGGCAACAGCAAGGGTTAATTGATTTCTAAAAGCCTGTTTGTGACAGTTTCCTTCAAGGCCCACTGTGTCTGACACAAGCAAGCAGAAAAAGATACACAGGCTGGGAAACTGAAGACATGTACCACACTGTTCCATAACATGAGATAAGGTGGTATTAGGTCAGTGCCCAGATGCAGAGCCCTTGGGATTTCTGGTTTTGGTAAATGGACCAAATTAGGAGGACACCGGAAAGAACCAAATTTGAATGTGTGCATGTGATGGGTTTGTAAAACAAGGGAATATACTGACAGGACAGAATGTTGACAGTATGACGACCACAGGGAGACCAATCGATGATGCCCAGAAATGAAGAGTCATCAGGAGGGGAAAAAAATACAAAAAAAGGGATTTTCGAACAGCAAAGGGTCCCTGAGAGGGGAACCTGAAGCCACCATGGACAGAGAACACACCACCAGCCTCTCACCCACCCGACTGAGGAGGGGTGGGCTTCTGCTTTTGATCTCTGGGCTGCTGATATCTGACATTCAAAAGGGAAGCTCAGAGTGAAGCTCGCATACTGGCCAGATATACTTTGATTCTGTGAACTCTGTGACTGGTAGATAATGATTTTTTTGCATTATTCTTATCTGCTATCACTGTGTATCAATAAAATTCGCCTATTATTGAATGGAAAGGTCATGGTCAGTCTGAGGGTTTTGGGTCTACCCAGAACGAGGTATCTGGGTCACAAATCCAGTGCCATCGTAATACACTGCACAGTAATTGCTGTGCACATATACACAGTGATGCTTTATTACATATTAAATTAGTCTAATGCTCACTAAAGTGTTTCGTGTAGACACACCCACTGGCAAGAGGGAGCTCAGTCAGGCAGGGCAGGAAGGGGAGGGGAAGACCTTCCACTCCCCATGCAGGGTCCTGGCTCCGGGCATGCAGCCTAGGGGTGAGCAGGTGAGCTGGCGCAGGCACAGGTGGCCATGGTGCCCTCTCTCCTCTGGCCCTCCTCCCTATGCAGGGCTTAGCAGGAGGGTGTGGCAGGAACTCCTGGCAATCTGAGTCCATCCTCAGCTGTGGAGAGATGGTTAGGTTGGGTGAGGTGTCCCAAGCACTGAGGCATGGTGCCTGACCACTCAGGCAGCAGCCCCTTCTGGTGAGGAGTTGGACTTGGTGGGTGCAGGGGCCATCCCTGGCCTGCCCTCTGTGTTGGGGACCCACTGCCACAGTAGCTGAGGCAAGTGGTGGCCCAGGCTCGCTGAGCTGCCAGGTAAAGCCAAGGGCAGGGAGTGCACTGGGCCCTGGTTCTAGAACCCCGAGGGGCTCTCCCCTGGTGAGTGCTTGTTGTTGGCAGGCACAGCCTCCACCAGAACACATACCAGGCCTCGCTAGGGTCCGTGGAGGGACAGGATGCAGTCCAGCTTGTGCATGAATGATGTGGTCCTCGGCACAGCCTTGGACTGCCTGTTGTGGTCTGTCATACAGACCCACTGTGCTCTCAGGATTTTTGCTTTCACTTAGCATTGCTGTCTGGACCACTAGTGTCCATGCTTCTGCATCCACTTGGCCATGGCTGTGTAATCATGCCTGTTGACCTTTGCTGCCCAGCTGAACTGCTGTTGGACCTCAATGCCCCCCGCCCCTGCCCCCCCCAGATTGCAATGAGATCCACAGCCTCCTGGTGAGTCCAGTTGGGCTCCTGGGCCTGTCTCCCCACAGGTGGATAGCCCAACATGGCAGCAGCTGGCAGGGGCCTCTGGGGCTCAGGTCTGGGCTCTGGGTGTTGGCATTGGGTGGCATGTGCCCACTGCTATGGGGTATGGTGCCCAGAAGTTAGGTTTGGGCTGGTAGGGGCCTTGGGGGAATCAGGCTCCAGGTGGCAGCGTTAAGCAACATGTATCTGCTGCCTTGGGGCACAGTGCCCAGGGGACAGTCTCTGCCCAGCAGGAGTCCCAAGGCTCAGAGCCAGGGTCTCGGGAGCTGCATGGGGTGATGTGCCCCGAGGACAGGCAGACACAGACAGGGGCCCCAGGGGTCAGAGAGGCTGCATCACCTAGTACGTGCCCTCAGAGGAGGGGCACTGTGCTCAGGGGGCAGGCAGATGCAGGCAGGGGCCCTGGGGGCAGGCCAGGGGTCCAGGTGGTATTGTTGGGCAGCTGAAGAGCTGCCCATGTCATGCAGCTGGAGAAGCTGCCAGCCATGTGGCTCAGCAGCAGGAAGGAGGTTGGACCCCTGCTAGTGTGGCTGACCAGGCACAATTTGCACCAAACATCACCATCTATACGTGCGCTTAGGCACATTAAAGTGCCATTGGCTAGTACCTGTATCTGTCAGTACTAGCCAGCGGCACTTTACATTAATCTAATGCACTCTAATAGCACACACAGACAGATGGTGACACTTTACTGTGCATTAGAATAGTCTAATGCATGATAAAGCACGTATGTAGACATGCCCCTGGAGTATATTTTCTGTATATGCTTGGGAAACTGACATTTTTCTAATTATAATACTGTGCATTATAATGCTGTGATGGGTGACTATTTTTGTAAATTGTTGATAGTCCTACTTTGAGAGGTCATGAGAATCTTAAACTTGAGGTAATGAGTGTTTTATAAGCAAAGGAAGTTAATCTATTACAAAACTCACTGGTCTGTGAAACAGAATACTTCTAAAAATCTCCAAGGATAGAAAATGGGGTATATGATACCAGCAGGTTCCATTTCCACATGTGCTCAGAAAACCTATTGCTGGTTTGTTTGTCAGCTTGTTTGTGACTCATACATGAAGCATGAAAAACTGGTTTGTGGAACCCAATCCTCTAAAGTTAACAAGCTGCACACACCAGTGCCCAGAAAAAGTAAAGAAATGGTCCCTGACTCACACTTTACATTCTCAACTGATACAGAAGATCAGCTTCATGGCAGGCAATGGTGTTTATACTTGATACACACTCAGCGAGTATCTTTGAGCAGTGATGGGTTCCCGTCTCTGAATTCACTGGGGCAAATTCTGCTGTCCTACCCTGTTGCAATCACCTAGAAATCAGCAGTGTTCTATAGTACAGATTGTAAAATACTAACTCACCACCTATCCAGGATCTCCATTTCAGTATATATTGGTCTAAGGTAGTGGTTCTCAATCTTTTAAGACTCAAGGCACCCCTAAATTGGTTTGATGCAACCTTCAGAAAATACCAGCTCTTAGTTTTCACTCATTTTGACTACAGAAAAATAGTAAGAGCAAGTCTTCTGTTCCAAAGAACTGAGAGAGATCATAAGAGGTAAGAATGTTTTTTAACACTGACCATTTCCTATTTGAAATCCCTGGGTTTATTTTGTGAATCATGTTTGCACAGTGATAAGTTATGATAACACTATGTGTCACCCTTGAAAAGATCTCATGGCACTCTGATTAAGAATCATTAGTCCAGGAACTATTCTTTCTCATACACCTGTAAAAGATTAGGCTTATATTGATAGCAAATCTGCTATAATACCCTGCATTCCATTAGTTTAGTTAACTTGCCAATTTAAGATCACTGGGGCTTGATGAGAGTATCTAGGGCCTCTGAACATTTGACTAGAGTAGGGTGGATTGGGGTGCTGAGGGAGATTCGTAGGAAGGACATGTTGTTATCAGAAGGCAGGTAGCCTTATTCTCCCTCAAACACCCCTCCACAAAACCCTCCAAAAAGGCAAGCTGCTTTATTGAACAAATGCACTACCTGGCTAAGCCAAATGTTTATTTCAATGCCATCTGATAAGTTAATCTTTAAATGCCAGCTACATTGGCAGAAGTTTGCTTAAGTGATGATGATGCGTTTCTCTCTCTGTTTGAAATTTTTAAAAGGCTTTCCAAAATTTTCAGTGTTTTAAAGCTCAGACCAAACTACAGAACTGCCAATTCAGGAATTTAATAATATGTGTTATGCTGTGAAAATGGAGGTAAAAGTAGAAGAAAAACTCCAAAAATCCAAACCTATGACACATTTCAGCAACATTGTGTTAATTATTTTATTAACTAATCAAAGCTAATTTGAAATGCTTGTCTGCCTTCTCAGCTGTTCTTGCCTCCATATGGAGATAAAAGCTGCAGGAGCTAATGGGAGAAATCCTTGCACCTGGCACAGGTCTCAGAATGGAGGGTCATTACCTATTGATAACTATTCATGTAATTGGAGCTCCTATGGATAAAAAGATGAGTACTACCCAAGGCAAACCCAGTTTTCAAATCTGAACTGCAGGGATTGGTAAGTAGACTTTCCTGGCAGGGCCTTGATCAGATAATGAGCCTGATCCAAAGGTCACCTGAGAAAGGTGTCTGGAGGTAATAAGGCAGTTACTCATGTGCTATCTGAGAAACTGAGAGCAAAAGCTTAGGTATGAAAGCAGAAGGAATTGGCTGTACAGAAAAGAGATTCATTGTTCTTGAGGTTAACTCAGATGCAAAAGAAGGTAGATTCTGACCTTCTGGAGCAGTGGTCCCCAATATGGCATGTTACTCTCAAGACCATCTAACATGGCTACAGAAAAATTTGTTTTCCAGATACATTGAAAGGAAGAACACAATATGATGGCTGCAGTACATCACTTGCTTAGTTCTACTGCCTATGGACCACTTAAAGTTGGGAACTGTTGCATTAAGCAACTATTGATCTAAGCCCAAAAAGCATTCAAGAGAGGGTTAGGAAACTGAGATGGGGAAATGTGCACCTTATTGTTTTTCTTGGTGGCTTTTTTTGTCTAGCTACATAGATTTATAATGCCAGCCAAAGTAAGCACTAACTTCGTTTTTGGAACTTTTACAAAGCCGGTGTACCTGGCTTCCAAAGATGTATGTCTCCAAGGAGGTGAACTTTAAATTTGAAGTCCTCTGAAAAAGGTTATGCTTAAGTTACTCCAGTAATGGTAACTGTCCTGGGGCCAAGAACAGGTGAGCAGCAGCATCACATTGCCATAAAGAGATATCGGACAACCTGTACCAGGGAGATGTGCCACAGACAGAAGCTGGAGCCTACTATGGCCCAGGAAAGCTAACAGCCTGTTGGGACACAAATGCAGCAGAAGGTCCAGGAGAAGTTTTAAAAGGGCTGTGATGGCAAACTAGATCTAGAAAGGGAAGTACTTTCCCACTGTATCACTATTTCTTAAGTGGCTGCTTTTAAATCTTAGCTCTTGCACAATCCTGACGCATGACTGTTATCTTATTAACCTAAAGAAAATAGAGAGATGAGTCCTGTTTACTTTTTTTCCCCTCGGGCATGATTTTAAATAGCATTTCAGGATTTGGGGGAAAATATCTTTTTATAGGCATTATGTAGCATAAAGTGATACTGGAATATTAAGCATGAAAGACACTGCAAACTTGACTAATTTGGAACATGATTTGTATATTTATTTCCCCACTGACCCAGCAAAGGCCTCCAACACCTGTAAAATGAGACAAGAAACCCCAGTTTCTTCCAAATATTTTCCTCAGGTTAGCCTAACTGAAGAAAGCCAGTGGCAAACTGCTACGCAGGAAATCAGGACAGTGTGCCACTTAGGCTCAGAAAAACAAAGTACATTTTGCAGTTAACAGGGGTGACAGTCAACAAAGTATATTAGCCTGTGAAGAGCTCCATGCTGCTGTACCTAGACTGCTTCCAAAAGCAGAGCTAGTTCACATGCTCTTATGGTTAAGAAAACTGCTCACTGAGCATTTGGCCAACTGAGGGAAAGGCATTGACACAGGAGATACCCTCACATAACTGTGATAACAAGGAGGGAAAAATAGAGGGCTATGCTATAGAAATTACCAGCTTCAGAATACTAGTGAATTGATCTACATTATATCTGTATAGTGCATGAAATATCATTGCTTCCCTCCAACTCATGACTTCTCCAATATGACTTTTTCTACCCTGTTGAACTTCTGTAGTTCAACAGTTAGTGCCCAATATCTGAGATAGAGCCACATTAATCTTCCATTTTGACTTTTGTTCTTGTTTAGTAAATTGCCACAGTATGTATCATGTTTAAAAATCTCCCTTAAACCACTTTCCATCTCTATGTCTGCAGCAACAGGATCAGTTGCTGCTCTGATAAGCAAATTTTTCTCTATTTCAAGTCGCTGGTTTCTGGGCAGCATGAGACTGCAGTAGATTTCTTGCCTTTCCTTAAGGGCTTCTTCAAATTCTTTTAGTAAAACATTGGCTCTCTTTTGCCATTCTTCTTCCTTTGCCAGACAGCTCTGGTACAATGCACCTACTGCCCCTGAGCGCAGCAGAACATGTTTTTCTTGCTCTAACTTTTCACGATCCTGTTCTAGAATTCTTCTCTCCTGCACTAATTTGTGAGTCTGGGAGATGAGAGCTTCACGGTAACTTAGGGTTCTGTTGTGCTCTTTTTCAAGCTCTAACTCCAGGTGAGCTACCGCACGGCGATTTTCTGCAATTATGTCACGGTACTTTGATTCAAGATCTCTTTGTAGAGATGCCAGTCTGGTGTAATATTCTCTTTTCTCTTTTTCTATTTCTTTTTGGGATTCTCTTGACCATATCCAACCTGTTGGACAAAACAAATTCCACATATAAAACATGCATAATACTAACACACACAACACAACTTCTTTTCTGAGGTATTTAAATGGTTGTTTTTCAGTAATAGCTTGCTTGTTTTTATTCCACAATAACTTAGCTGACATGGGCCACACTGTTATCCCATAAAATATATGCTTCTATGGTCCTCTGGTATTATAAACGAAGCAGGCTAGATATGCAGCTTTACAGACCAACTAAATAAGAATACAAGCTTTTGTGAACCCAAGTTCACTTCATCAGATGCTGTGAAACCATTTGCAGAAACCAATGTATAAGGAGAGAAATTGGAATACAAAAAACAGGGAAGGGGCAGTGTGAGGAGAGAAAAGCAAATGAATAGTAAAGCCATAGGAACAAAGTGATCACAAAAGGAGGTCAGACTAAGTGAAAAAATACTTCTTTAAAATATATTAAGCTTTGCAGCATATTTATTAAATTTAGACTGTGGCAGGAAGAAGTGACACTAGGGAAGCAATGCATTATTTCAGAAAAAGAAATGCTATTCTATTAACCTTAGCTTTATCAGCTGAGGTCAAAATTGTAGAGTAGATAGTTTCACAACCCTTTTCTAGCACCACGAATCAGAAAATAGAGCAGATGGAGAAATGTAGCTCGCTAGAGCAGTTACAAAAATAGTCCTAAATTCTGGTAAGGCATGGTAGTAAAAAAGAGAAGTGTATAAAACTACACCATCTCTACAAGTTGGGCGAGAGCTTCAGAAAGAATTAAGCTAGTCTAGTAATCATTCCTGGAAAGTGCATTTAAGTACACCAACTTCCTTTCTGTTGTTTTTATAATCCTTTGCTTTGTAATGAATTTGAGGCAGAAACAGAGGAGAGCCTGAAATCATTGGTGAGGCTGGGGTATGTATTCCTGTCATTTGGATAACCTAAAAATAATTCATGGGTTAAGGAAGTTTGTTACTTTGAGGACGTGTGTGGTTTTTATGGGGTTTTTTTTTTTTTAACTTGGCCTGAAATAATCCTATTATGCTGTGGAAAATAATGTATTTTCCCTCCAGAAAACTCAGATCAACTGTTTCAGTTAGAACTCTAATCATGAGATATTAAATGCTGTCTTAGACACTGCAGACTGACTGATGGATATATGTTACATAATACTAGTTAACTAGTCCTTGTATGCAAGCATGTATTTGGTCTTAAGATTTCACAAGCAAATATACATTTGTTTTTTCCAAAAATCCCAAACCAAAATCTTATTTTAAAAGGAGGACATACATTCTTCCTTTTAAATATTTTGAAATTAAACCTGCCTGGTAGTCTTTTAACCCTTGGACACTCACACCATTGCAGAAAGAGAACAGTAATAGGTGTAGGCAGAAAAATAAAAGCATGGCTGACTAATGATTTTATTTGCTAGCTTTTTAGCAATTGAGTCAAAGTAGGACATAGCAATATTATTATTAAATGTGTTTGTGAAAGATTACATATTGACTTATAAGTTGATATATATTTTACAAAGTTAGGCCATCAAGGAAAAAATTTGGCAACAGAGAACTGGAAACGCATGGTAGAAGGTGCAACAAACGCTGAGTTTTGAAGTGTGACTGAAGGAAAAGAGAGTTTGAGAAATCATGCAACTCTTTCCTTTGAAAATGGGTTATAGAAGGAGCACCATATCACGCTGCCAAAATGTAAAGGTGAGGTCCTCTGCCTCTGACATTGCCAGCTTTGATGTCAGAATTTTTTGTTTCAGTCATAGATTGAATAAAAAAGGTGATGAATTCAAAATAGTAGAGTAGTTATATTAACATGACTAATGTAAATGCTTTGGATCCTCTTTAAAGATTATGATCCGTCTAAGCATCAGGAGACCGCTTCTTCTGCCTCAGTTCTGGCAGGTTTTTTTTGTTTATTCCGGTACACCTTGACTTTACTCTTCTGGAGTATGTGTAATGTACATTCTTGCAGGCATCCATTATACTATTACTTCATTTTACCAAAATCTTTCTGATTATACAATCTCATGGTTGTAAGAGACCCCAAGGATAATCTAATCCAACTCCCTGCAGAGATGAAACGGATGCATATTGAGCCACTTCAACCACTGCTCTTGTACTTAGGAAGTTGATGCTCATCACTTGCTCGACACTTCATGTTTGTGTTAAGAGTTCTTGAATAACTTTTTTTAATAATTTCACTCCGCTTTGGAGACAGGCTATCAAATGTGGTTTGCAAAGGACTTAAACATGCGTGCCTTTGTTTTCTTATGATTAGAAAAGACTAGAAAGGGTTTTTTTTCCTTACAAGAGACCACTTTAATTCTTTTTGTGTGTTTTGTATGAGGGGGGTTGCGGTTTTGTTGAATCTTCCTAATTTTAGACATACAAAATTGCTTTGGTCATACAGGATCTCAAGAAGTACCAGTGATGCATATTTTAAGTATTAACATTTTAATGGAAATGGTGAATGTATTTATTGTTGTTCACATTACTAATCATTGTTATTAAGCAGGTTTTAAAAGTTTGTTTTTAAAGCAGACTGACCAAAAGTTGCTTTCACACTCACCATTTTCACTAGTTGTTTTTTTTTTTTAAGCTCTCTAGGGAGGCTCCCATGCTAGGAAAGGCCTGAATTTGAAGACTTAAAAAAACTGGGGATCAAGGTGGGGAGAGAGAACATGGTAATTTCTTTGAAATGAGGATAATCTCTTTAGAACCAGGTCCTGGCTCTTCCGGACTGACTCTGATGCCATAGTCCTTTTTCCCCCTTCTCTTTCCCCCACTCTCTTCTTAAGCACACAGGTTTGCGTGCTCTCTCTCAGCAGGCTATAGCTGCAAATTGGAACTTAATAAAATACTGGTAAAATTCTCTCAGCAACCCAAACTACAGAGGATGCAAATGGAAGACTTGTTACTTTGATATTCTGTACTTTATTATTTTCTTTCCTAAGAGAATCTCAGTGTCTATTGCAAGTACTGAAGAGAACCTGGGTATCCCAGAACCCTGTTGGCTCAGTCAGGCTTAGAAGCTTCTTGGGCAAGTGATTTTAGTATCTGACAGACCTCATTATTTGAAAATTCTACAGTCATTCTAGAGGATGAGATAGATCAGTGGTGTCAAACATATGGCCCAAAGGCTGAATCTGGCCCACAGGACTCCTGAAAAGCCAGGAATTTGGGACAGGACCTGCTGCTAAGATCTGAGAACCCTGCTGGGGATGTGTTTCAGCAGTGGGGAGAAGGGACAGCTGTATTAACCTCTATGGCTCCTTGACACTGCTCACCAGCTGCAAGCGGTGGGTCTAGATCTCACCAATGGAGGGAGGACCAACGGGCAAAGCAGTTTGACACCCCTGGGCTAAATGATTCAGAAGATTTTGTCTAGCCATTGGCTCTAAGTCTTGAGTATCTTTGCTACTGTCCAGACTGCATTCTTCATTTTTAGTTTTAGCCTTCTGCTCCTTCTTGTAAAAAAACAAAACTCTTTAAAAAATATTACAAGGGAAATGGCTATATTTACTTACATGGCACATTGTGAAAAATCTGCTCGGTAACGGAGGAAATCAATACAACAGTCATGGACGCATAGTACTTAATCAGTAGAATTAATGTAATCCAAAATTTCTAATCATTAGTGTACTTCAGACACTGTGATCAGAAAGTTTCTTGGAGAGAAGCTAAGATTATTTTATGGACTATACTGCTCTTCAAGGGGGAAAACCCAGAGTGTTGAGTGCAACCAATCATAGCTTCTGTTTCAGCCTTTTAAGGAATAATTCTGAATTCCTGAAATATCCAAGACCACTACTAATGTCAAGCAACTCTATTAACAAGGAATGCAAAACCAGTCTCTGAATATGTCTGATTGTTCATGACTGCTTAAATCCCTTATAGGAAAATTCTGAAACTTTCTTTAAACAGCAAAGAATGAGAGCAAGTGAGTGAGCAGTGCAATTAATCTGGCAGATTTTAAAATGTACATGCAATCTGAAAAAAACCTCAAAGATAAAGTTTGTCTTGGAAATGGACTTTGCTGTCAGACTTGTTAGGCATGGCATAGACTTTCTATGCATCTGAAATGAGACTCCTACCTCCACCTTGGTATTTCCGGCACTATCAATACAAGTAAATATTATCACTTTGACTTTTACATGCTGCTCCATGGACATATGAATAGGGATCTACTGAAATCACAACTTCATGGATTTTGTGAAAACTACAAAACCCGGCATTGCCTGCGAAATTGGGCAATGTCTACAAAATCCACAAAGAAAACTTACTGAAAATAAAATGCTATAAGCAGTTTTCGGGGTCCTGCAGACCAGCTGTGTGCAGCTGGGGTGTGCCAGCTCTGCCTCCCAACGCTGACTGGCTGAAAGGGCTGCCTGTCATGCAGCCCAACCCCTCTTTACCAATTGGTGGTGAGGGGTAGGGGCTATATGATGGGCAACCCTCACAGACAATCAGTGATAAGGGGCAGGGCCACCAGGGCCCTTAAGTCAATCAGAGGTGGGAGGTGGGGAGGAAAGCACTGCTGCAATCACCCCACAAAAACATAGGCCCCATGATCTCCCCACAAAACTGGCTGGCTGCCTACTTGAGTTTTTGTAGACTCCTATATATGAACTCTATCCCATGCCTATACTCTCCTGCCCATCCTCTTTTCCCAATACCACAAACCTCACGTGCTCATGTCAGCTTTTCCTGCAGACACCTCTATGCCTTCTTCCATAAATCCTTCTAATGCATGTAGTTCCCTGAACTGATCTTTAGGTTGTTTCTCCTACTTCAGATCCTTCCTCTCCACTCCCCTATCCTGCAACACCTTAAGAAGCCAGCCGGTTACCAATAGTTCAGTTAATGGGCAACTGGTAATAAGCAGACTTGTTTCAAAATGGACTCAGTATTAAGTTGGCGTACATAGTTAAATAAGCATGTCAGTAGCTGTGTGAACAGGCTCTCTCTTACCGACAGCACAGTACTCCTGAACATACATCACTGGCTTGCTGAATTATGCTCTGACAGTTCAGTGGAAAAACATTCTGTTCCAGATCTGCAGCATTTCATGGGCTAGAGAATATATTCTCCCCTTCCTCCATCCATACAGCTCCAGGATATCCACCAAGTTCTTTCCTTTACTTTCAAAGGCTGTGGGCTAATGCAGCTCCATCTGGATGGCTACTTTTTGGCTCTCTCTACTGGCTTATGTCAATGCTATCCCTTCAATCAGTCAAACAGAAGAGGGAGCAAGATGTTGTTTCACTCCATTTGCAGTGCTCCAGGAACCTGCTTGTTTGAAGAACCTGACACCAAGCTCTGAGGCTCCATACTGCAACACACTGTATGCTCAATTGAGTTTTGGACCAGATAAGCAAAAGCTGATTGTACTAAAAATACTTACGAAATGCAGCCAATCCCAGCATGGGAACCAACAAAGCATAATTCCATTTGCTTCCGTCACCATCACCGTTTCTTTGATTAGGCTGGATGTTCCAGTGTGGAGGATCATTTAAATTATTCATGGAGATACCTTTAAGTGCCCAGAAGAAAAGAAACCAGCTACATCAGAGGGACTGGTGAAAAAGGGGGATGCGATAGTGGACAACACAGCAGGGGGAATGCACCTGAATACCATGATGGCTGGGGAGGGGAGAGCCTTGCTCCTGCCTCTTCTCTAAACTGATGAATTTTGAATTCTTTTTCTGTAAAGTTAACCCACCTTCAGGAGAGGAGTGAACCCATCTCAGCACAGCCTACAGTCTGGTGAGCCCACAAAGCCAGTACAGGTTTCTGCTACGTTTTTCAACTTAGAAATCATAGAGAAGTAGGGCTGGAAAGGACCTCCAGAGCCCACCCACTCCAGTGGTACTCAACCTTTTTTGTATCGGGTCCTATTTGTAAAAATCGATGACCAGTCCTGACCCAGTAATTAGTTTAAGTAGAAAACAGCCCCTTGGCCTTGCTGGTGCCCCTTACTCCTGACCCACTACCCCTCACTCCAGGCATGTGTGCGCATGTGGTGGTGGGGGGCAAGCAGGTGAGACCTCTACCAGCCTGCAAGGGAAAAGCCATGCCTTCCCATATTTTTCTCCTTCAACGGAGAAGCCATTTAAAGCCCATTCCATGACCCTTTCGTATATTCTTGCGGCCCATTTTTGGGCTGTGACTCACAGGTTGAGAAACACTGATCTAGTCCAACCCCCTGCCTGCTGTTTGGACCCCCATCCAAATCATTCCTTGCAAATCCATGATCTAAACACTTTGTAAAAGTGCTGTCAACACCGACACCAAGCAAGACATAACACCCTATCCTAGCACCGGTAAAGCAGGGGAACCACAGCAGCCGAAGTCCTGCTTCTATAAAAGGTTGTAGTCAATGGTGAGGATTCGGTGCTCTTGCTGCTGCGGCTGGGGTTTGGTTCCCAGCTAGAGAAGCCTATTTCCTTTTCTTCCTTTCCTGTGCTCGAGATCCCAGGGAGAAGGCTGCTCTGTTTGATACAGAGCAAGACAAGAAGTGACATAGCCTGAGCCAACCTGACCAGGGGTAAAATCCCTTCTTGACCCAAGTGCAGCATCCAATGTTTTAGGAGACTGAAAAAAGCCCAGGCCAGTGATCCTCAATCTTTCTGGACTCAGGGCACTTTCAGAAAACACCAGGTCTTAGCTCTGATCTGTTTTTCAACTACAAAAAATTAAAGAGCAATACTGCTCCCACAGGTGCCTGGGCCAGACCCCGGCAGAGCAGAACGGCTTTGAGTAGGGGTCCCGGCTGCCCGCTGTGGGTAGGCAGGCGCACCTCTGGCCCCGCTGTGTTGCGTGGATCCCACGCCGGCTCGTGAACTGCGGTCAGCGGAGCCAAGCACAGGTGCTGAGGAGCGATGGCGCACGCAGCTGTCTGCCTGGCTACAAGAGAGGTGGGCGGGTGGGCTGCACGGGTATTGCTTGGGAAGCACTCCCAACTTTGTAGCTGGTTTCTCACCAGCTTGAATCTGAAGGCGGGGCCGGCCCCTAGGGTGTCGCGTCTCGCCTGACCCCGTGGAAGAGCCCCTAGCCCGGGCTGGGGATCAGCGGCCTGGGCACGGAGCGGAGCCGCGCGCGACAGGAGGCTCCTGCGGGATCGGCCGCCCCAGCCGCACGGGCTCGAGTCCCGGGGCGGCCCCTCCCCAACTCCCGCGGCCGGCTCGGGGCGGAGCTCGTTCAACCGCACGACAGCCCCGTCCCCACCCCGCG